CCCCAAATTTTTTAAAGTCTTTCACTCAGCAGAACAAAATACAACCTTAAAGACTCTTCCTACAAAATATGTCTCTTAATGTGTCTTAATATAAGGGCCCGTGCTAATTGCAACCACTGAGAGAAAACTCTGTATTTAAATATGTACTTGTCTTCCCCATTAGAATATAAACTCCTTGAGAGTAGGGATTCTTTCATTCTCTGTATTTGTATCCCAGCATCAAGCACATGGATTGGAGAGAGGACAAAATAAAGGCAGGGAAAACAGTTAAGACAGTATTACAATAAGGTAATGGTAGCCTAAACAAGGGTGTTCAGTGAAATTCCAAGGAAAAAAAGAAAGTATTGTTCTTCTGAAAATAAAAAATACATGGAGGTTCTTCTTCACATGAGCAACAAGATAGATGACTCTGATCCCCACAAGCTCTCCAAAACAGAAATTATGAGCCAAAGACAATGCAACTTCAGCTATCTCCACTACCCAGGATGCCCAGAATCCAAAAGAAGGTGTAAAAAAGAAAAACAACCCAAAACCATGAACAGACACTCACTGACCCTTCAGCTCTTAGCCCCCTCCCCCATGTCCCATGCTACACGACAGCAGGGGGGTTGCACTACCAGACCCAAGGACCAGATCCAGGCTTACAACAAAATCCACTCCTATGCCTGAGTCCTCCGTCCCACGTTAAAGCACCACAGCGATTCTGGCTCCAAGCTGCGTAAGTTTACCAGAGTCATAATAAGAAGGCACCCTACTAGAATATTTTATGAGACAAATACAGTCCTAAAACCTTAACCACGGAAAAAAGAAAACACAGAAAAAATAACTGAAAGCCATCATCATTAGTGAACAATGACTCAAAAAAGTTCAACAAAATCCTGCCAGATTACAGCAATTTATCCAAGAAATCATTCATTATGATTAAGTAGGGTTTATACCAGGCATACAAGGATGGTTTAGCATTAGGAAAACAATCAATACAATTAATCATATTAAAAATCAAAACATCCACTAACACATTGTTAGTGGAGTTGTGAACTGATGCAACCATTTTGGAGAGCAATTTGGAACTTTGCCCAAAGGGCTATAAAAATGTGCATACCCTTTCACCCAGCGATACCACTTCTAGGTCTGTATCCCAAAGAGATCATAAAAATGGGAAAAAAGACCCACATGTACAAAAATATTTATAGCAACTCTTTCTGTGGTGGCAAAAAATTGGAAATTGAGGAGATGCCCATCAACTGGGGAATGGCTGAACAAGTTGTGGTAGATGAACATAATGGAATATTACTGCTCCATAAGAAATGATGAGTGGGCAGACTTCAGAAAAACCTGGAACGACTTGTATGGACTGATGCTGAGTGAAGTGAGCAGAACCAGGAGAACGTTGTACACGGTAACATCCATGTTGTGCGAGGACTAACTTTGACAGACTTAGCTCTTCTCAGCAGTGCAAGCATCTGAGACATCTCCAAAAGTCTCGTGATGGAAAATGCTATCCATATCCAGAAAAAGAACTATGGAGTTTAAATGCAGATCAAAGCATACTATTTGCTCTTTTTTTTCTGTTTTATTTCTTCTTTCTTGTAGTTCCTCCTACTGGTTATAATTCTTCATTACAACATGACTAATGTGAAAATATGTTTAATAGGGATGTATATGTAGAGCCTATATCAGATTGCATGCTGTCTTGGGCAGGGAAGTGGGGAGGGAGATGAAGAAAATTTAAAACTTGAAAGCTTATGGAAGTGAATGTTGAAAACTAAAATAAATAAATTAATTTAAAAAATTAAAAACCACATTATCATTTCAATAGATGCACAAAAAGCCTCTGACAAATTACAACATTCTTTTATGCTAAAAACTCTACAAAGGATAGGCACAGAAGGACCTTTTACACTATCAAAAAAAGCATCTATTTAAAACCAAAAAGCAAGGGTCATATGCAAAAGGGATATGCTAGAACCTTTTCCAATAAATATGAGAGTGAAGCAAGCATGGTCACTTCTCCCCATTATTATTTGGTATGTTTGTGTTAATACTAACAATAACAATAAGACAAGAGAAATAAATTAAAGGCATAAAAATACATAAAGGGGAGATAAAACTATCTTTATTTGCTGATGATATGAAGGTTTACTTGGAAAAACTTAGAAAATCCGAAAAGATATGAATTGAGACGATGAATAGCTTCAGCAAAGTTGCAGGCTACAAAATAAATCCTCAAAAATCATTAACATTTCTATACAACAATAACAAAACACAGGAAGCAATAATAAAAAGGGAAATCTCATTCCAAATAACTACAAAATACATAAAATATCTAGGGCTCAATCTACCAAAACAACCAAAAGACCTGTAACAGAGTCAATTACAAAGCACCCCTTAAAGAAATATAAGACAACTTAAATAGCTGAAGGAATATTTAGTGCTTACAGGATGCCCTAATGATAAAAATGACAATACTACCAAAATTAATTTACACTTTTAATACTATGCCACTGAAACTACCAAGTGAATACTTCATAAAATTTGATGAAATAATTTTAAAAATTGAATTGGAAAAACAAAAGATCTGGAATATCAAGGGAAATGATGAACAGTAGGGACAAAGGGCCAATAACACTTCTGGACCTCAACTATAAGTGGTCATCAAAACTATCTGGTAGTGTTAAAAAACACATCGATGAAATAGACTAGACAAGGGAGAATCAGAAACAGAAAAATTTAATAATTTATAGTTTGATAAAGTGGAAAACATAAATTACCTAGAAAAAAATTCTTAATGGGATAAAAACTGCTAAAAAAAAAAAAACTGAAAAGCAGTATGGCACAAATTAGGTTTACACCTTACAACTTATTCCACAATACACTGTAAATGACCTTGATGTTAAAGATCATTTCTTCCCAAAAAATTGGAAGAAAATAGATCATATACCTCTTACAACAATGGGTAAGAGATATATTCTTTTTTTTTTTTTTGAACCAGAAAAACTTCTTATTAACGGCCTACCAAGGCTGGGTGCCCCATGTGCAGGCACAACAGATGTATTCTTAACCAACCAAGAGATGGAGACAATTACAAAAGATAAAATAGATAACTTCAATTACTTCAAACTGAAATGCTTCTGCACAGACAATATTAATGCATCTAGGATAAAAAAAGGAAGTGGTTGAATGAAAAAAAAATCTTATAAAATCTCTCTGATAAGGATTTGTTATCCAAGATTTAGAAACAATTAATACATACATATAAGACAAATAGCCATTCCCCAACAGATAAGTGGTCAAAGGATATGAACATAGTTCTCAAAAGAAGTACAAAGCATTCACAACCACATGAATGAATGCTCCAAATCACTAATAACAATAGAGTCAAAGTAACCCTGATGGTTTCACCTCACAACCAGCAAACTGGAAAAACACATAGCAGTCATTACTGAAAAGGATGTGGAAGGATAGGAAAACTAAAACATTATTGGTACAACTATGAAATATGACCATTTTAGAAAGCAATTTGGAATTATGCAAATAAACTAACTAAAATGTCCACACCCTTTGAACCTGAAACTCCATCACTGGGTTTATACCCCAAGGAAGCCATCAATCAGAAAATACTCCAAAATATTTTATAGCAGTACTTTTCGTGATAGCTAAGGACTGGAAACAATGTAGATGTCCATTTATTGGGAAATGATTAGAACAAATTGTGTTAAATGAATGTAATGGAATATTATTCTGCTATAAGAAATTGTGCATGTGATAAATAGGGAGGTATGGAAAGATCTTCATAAACTGATAGAGTGAAGTAATTAGAGCCAAGAAAACATCATACACAGTAACTACAACAATGTAAATGAAAATAATTATACACCAAAAAATCAAAAGTAAATTCAACAAAATTAGAAAGATCAAGCATAACTCAAATGAAGGTATATGAGAAGACAACCTCAACCCACCCCTTTGTGGAGGTGAGAGGTCTATAGGTGCATAAACTGCACGTGCTTTTGGACCTTTTCACTGCACTAATCAACAGTACTGATTTTTTTTTTCCTCTCTAAAAATATCTGTTATATGGGATGGCTCTCTGGGAGAAGAAGGAGGGATACTTAGGATAACTATGATGATAAGAGAAACAGAAGATATCAATAAAAATTCATTTTTTAAAAAATGAAATTGATTACAGAGAAACCATAGCTTTATCAACAACCTCTCAAGCATATATTAGTAGTTACAACATAAGCTCCCTGAGAGTAGGTATTTTGTCCTTCTTTGTATCTCACTCTAGCACAATGCCTGGCATAGTAGGCACTTCCTAAGTACTTTATTATTTGATTGAAATAAATGTTAAATGCATCCATACTTTAATTAAAATTAATAAATTTTGCAGCCTGAGTTTCCAAAAAAAAAAAAAAAAATAAATAATTAAAATAAAAAAAAAAAAAAAAATTTAAAAAAACAAATATTTTAAAAAAAAAAAAAAAATTTTTCACCCGAAGTTTCCCAAAAAAAAAAAAAAAAAAAAAAAAGGAACTACCAGAAAAGATTCTAATTTTAAACAGCAATTATTTTCTAAAGCAAAGAATAAAGACTTGGCAGCAAGTATCTCTACTTTCACAGAAGTTCATCACCAGAAGAAAAAGTATATGAATTTATAATTATTCTATGACTTCATTTCATTTTTTAAAAAAAGCAGTTCTGGTTAGAAACTATTTCTTCTAAAAAAAAGTGATGGTATAGGGGCCAATATACTCAATTACAACTTAATTCAAAGAATAAGTTCTTATTTAAATTATCCAAATCCTATTGAACAGGACTAAAAAATATACGAGTTCATGAATTTGCTACTTATTCTTCTCTTAAAATTTGGCCGGAGGCCCAATGAAGTTGTTAATTGCTATGTCCAAGGTCACATAGCCTTAAAAGCTACAAATGCACATAGAAACATTATTGTAAGGAGAGATGCCTAAATATGAGATACATGTTGAAAAGCATACCTTTGTAAAAGTGACAGGAATACTAGCATCCAGTTGAATATGGTCTGCAAGTTCAGTAAATTGCTGCTGCTGTTTCTGTAATGTTTCAAGTAACCTGGTGATCTCCTGTTTTGCCAAGACCACTCTGCAGTCATCCTAGGTAGGAAAAGAGGGAAATCTTTTATGTTTCACAGAAGATTTTTTATGAAGGGTAATTTGGTTTGAAAGATGAGACTGAACTGGCAGGCAGCTTATTTTTTAAAAATTTAAATTAATGCCTTCTGCTTTCAAGTTGTAAACCTTTCTAGAAATATTCATTTTAATGGTTTCAGATAATGGTAACAAAAACCACAGACAGTATAATGCTGGGAAGGGTTGGATTTAAATTCTGGTTCTGACCCTTACTACCTACGCTACCATAACCAAATTATTCATCTCTCTGAGCTTGCTTTCCTTTCAGTAAAACAGGGCCAATAATATTTGTGCTACTTACCTCACAGGATTGTTATGAAGAAAGGGCTCTGTAAATTTTAAAGTTAACTATAAAAAGTTAAACTATAAACTATATAAAGTTAACTATAAAAGCATACTTAATATTTACACACAAATATTATTACATATTATTTACATATGAAGATAACAAGAAAAACTCTTCCTCGTCCCTGCCTCCTCCCCTTCCCTGCCCCATCCCAGAACTAGGACATTGTTTCAGGTTGTATTTCCAGTCATATCTGTGATGATCCAACAAAGGGGTAGCGCAGAACTCCAAACACAGCTAACAGGGTGGGCAGTCCCAAAGCTAATCATGGACTCAGTACTGGGACCAAGCCAACAGTCAGGAAGTCTCCCAGAGGGATTAGGAACCTGGTCTCAGAGCAAAAGAGCTGAAGGGAGGGTGGCTTTGCAGCGCAGGGATACAGAGAAATTTTGGACTCATCCCCAGTCCAGGCTAGGAATTAGGGGCCTAGAGCATGAAATCTACCCAAACATAGACTGCCCAAAAGATCAGTTTAAAGTCTCAGAACAAATGATATGAGAGTTGTTTTTAAAGTTTAAAATACTATAGATGAAATGAAAAATAGAGGAAAGAATTGGAAAATAAATCAAAGCTATGGAGGAGAGACTTTGAAAGAGAACAGCCTATCATAAAAACTTACGCAAGTAAGAGATTGTCTGAAAATTAGAATGGGACACACAGAAGTTAATGACTCCATGAGACATTAAGAAATATAACAAAATCAAAAGATCAAAAAAAAGAAGAAAATGTAAAGTGCATCTAATATCAAAAACAATTGACCTAAAAAACAAATCAAGAGATGACAAAAAAAACCCAAAAACTGGATTTAATATTTCACAAAATTGTGAAAGAAAATTACTCAGATCTCTTAGAACAAGAAGGCAATGTGAAAATAGAAAGAATTCACCAGACACTTCCTGAAAGAAACCTCAAATGAAAGTTTTCAGGAACATCACAGTCAAAATCTAGAATTTCCAGATTAAAAGGAAAAAAAATACTACCAGCTTCCATAAAGAGCTTAAGTACCACAAAACCACAGTGAGGATGAAACAAGGTTTAGCATCTACCACTATAAAATAATGGAGAGCATGAAATATTATATTTCAAAAAACAGAAAGATAGACTTACAACCAAGAAACCAACAAAATTGAGTATAATTCTATGACAGAAAAGAATGGAACTTTAATAAAATAGAAGATTTCCAAGCATTCTTGATGAAAGATATGAGCTAGATAGAAACACTGAAATACAAAGGAGTTAAGAGAAACCAAAAATGTAGATACAAGTGAACAAGCAGAAAAAAATTTTATGTTTAATGATGTAGTATTTGCATTCTATGGGGATGCGGACACAAAAAAGGAGAAGCATATTAGGAATTTCTACAAAAACATCAAATAAAAGCAAAATATTCAACTTGGAAACACCGGAAACAAAAGAAATACATAAAAAGTAAATAAGGATAATTACAAAGGAAAGACTAAGTAGTGAAATAAACTACCTTAAGAGAGGTATTTTTTTTAAAAGAAAGAAAAAAAGTAATCTGCAGTCGTTTCAAACAAATGTAGGAAGACTTGTATGAAATCATACAATACAGAGTGAAGTGAGAAAATGGAAAACAATTTAAAAACTAAGGATAATGTAAAGAACTCTGATCAATGCAATGACCACCCACGATTCCAGAAAACTTGTGATAAATCACTCTATACACATCCTGACAAAGGGTGACGAATTCAAAGTGCAGAATGAGGTATACATCTTCAGAAATGGCTGCTGCGTGGAGATTTGTTTTGTTTGGCAATGGATATCTGATAAAAGGATTTTATTTTTCTTTTTTTCCAAATTGGGAGAAGAGGTTGGGGGAAGCAAGCAATGGAATTTCCAAAATAAAGAAGATAAAAAATAAAGTTACATGTTAAACTCACTACATAACTAAAAGCAAAAGTTAAGCTACACAAAATAGAAATTTAGTTTCATATTCAATCTTTTTTTCCTGTCTACTTTGTATATGGAAATGTTCATTTTTTGTGTTTAAGATTTTTTTTTTAAGTAAAAGGTGACCTATAGAGTATTTTTAACAAGTGAGATCACGAAGCAATAAAAAAGCACAAAAGAGGATACAACTGTAAACAGAAGGTAAAGGAAGAGAACCAACGCTTCTGCCCCTCAAGGGGCACCATGACATTTATAAACCTCACACCAGCCCCCAAGAAGTTTCTCAATGTATTCTGTGGCACAAAACTTCAGAATAGGAAGATGTACAAATGGAGAGAGGAGAGAGATAAAGAAATAAAAAGGAATAGGTGGCCTACCATCATTATGTCCATGGATGAACACTGAAAGGATGATGGCTCCTATGGGAAAGTTGGAGAACAGGGAAACTGAGACTGGGGGAATGAAAAGGAAGGGCTCAACCCAATGGTAGGGAAGGGAAGGGAAGAGAAGTCCACTGAAGAGCAATGCCATGGTGAAAGAGGAGGATACCTGCAATGGAAGATGGGGATCTCGTGGTGGATTAAATTTAAGGGGGTGAAATCAGTACACTGGGAGTCAATCTTCTCTGAGAGGGTGCTGTGCCTCCTTGGACTACCTCATGCTCCAAGATATGCCAGCTCCTAGGGGAAACTATCACCCACAAGAGAGGAGAACAACAGATACAGAGATGAGCTATAATGAACAATGGAAAGAAAACAATTACTTTAGGGAGAGGAAGGAGCGCAGGGACAGAACTGCACAATTTGGGACGTAAGGTAATTTATACCATGGTGCAGTGCTTTTACCTACATTATTTCCCTCACAAATGAATACTCCTAAGAATGAGGCACAACAGAAAAAAAGGAAGAGATCATATGGCAAGATCTTAGAAAATAAATAACAGGATATGCTTAAAAGAGAAGAACCTTAAATCTGTTACTTCAGAAGTGTTAAAAAAAAATAGGAACACAAAAAGATTAAATAATCAGAGAGGAATTCAAAAGAGCTAACATTTATATGGCATTTACTATGTGCCAGGCACTGTGCTAAGCACTATGACAATTATTATCACATTTGATCCTCACATTTCTGGTGGGTAGGTGCTATTATCTCCATTTTACAGATGAGGAAACTAAAGCAAACAGATTAAATGACTTGCCCAGGATTACAAAGCTAGAGAGTGTCTGAGGCTGGATTTGAACTCAGGTCTTCCAGACTTCAGGCCCAGCACTCAATCCACTGTGCCACCCAGCAGCCTTAACAGACAGGAAGGTAAAGGAGTTAGTAAAGAGAACAAAAAACAAACCTTTTTTCAGAAAAATGTACAAAAAAAAGAAAACTAATAAACATGAGAAACTGAAGGAGAAATGAGGAAGTGGATTCTGAACTAATGGCTTAATTAAAAGAGGAAAAAACAGATAACTATATGAATAAAAGAAAAGAATATTAAATAAAACCTCAAAATTAGAAAAAAGATTTTTATCTTTTCTACTACATAAGTTTTAAGGTAGTTTTCTCAAAGCAGAGTCATCAACTGCAGAACAGCTAAACAAGCTGTGGCACAGGAACAAAACAGAATAGTACTAGGCTATAAGAAATTATTAAAATGATGAATATAAAGAAGCAACTTAAGAGATATTAACTAACACAAAGTGAAGTACGCAGGGAGACAATATCTACAATGACTACAACAATGAAAATGAAAAGATTAGCAACAAGACAACTGAAAGTGAATGCTGAGAAATCATAATCACCAGGACCAGCCTCAAAGAAGAGATATGAGATGACACCTTTCCCAGTTTCTGTGCAAAAGATGAGGTGACTAGGGGTGTGGAACATTTGCATCAAATATTCCTGATACATTTTCAAAATATTAGTTTTATTAAGCATTATTCCTTCCTCTTTTTTCTATCTTTATAACAAGGGATGACTTAATGGAACTGGGTAGAGGGAGAAATGTATGTGATGTAAAAATAAGTTATTAAGAAAATTTAATTTTTAAAAAGATTATAGACTGACTATATTTAAACTGCATACCTGTTGCAAAGTCTTTTCACAGTGGAGACAGGCTGTTGAAACCTGTGACAACAATATAGTCATGTCCTCTTGCTGCTGCCTCAGCCAAATCAGTTTCTCTCGAACATGTGCATCAACAACACTCAGTGCCATTTCTTCCTGACGACACAGAGTTTCATGTAAATCAGAAAAATAGGCTCGGACACAGGATCGAGCGTTCTCTGCAGTACCAGGTACCTATGTAGGAAATTAGATTTTGTGGTGGTGTGCTGTTGCTGTTGTTTTGTTTTGTTTTGTTTTTTTTTTTAATAATTTTTGCTTTTAAGACATTCTTTAAAAGGTGAAATTTTATACTACAGGATCTCATTTTTAGCCGGTCCCCATTTACATTAGTTCAATTAACATGGCTTACATGTTACACTGTAACACTGTAATTTCTACTTCTATGATGGTCACCCTCAATCCAAAGACACCATTTATCACCTCGTCCAAGTTAAAGGGGTGGGGGGGAATCTTACATGTTCTGTGTGGGCCATTCCAATTCCATCTTCCACAATTTGTTCTCCCCCTTCTATGTGCTGAACAATTCCAACTAATTTTCTGGAATAATCTGAGATTTCTTCAGTAAAAGTTCGTATGCAGTGAGCCATATCTAAAATCGATGCTCGGATCTGGTTTGCTTCTGGTTCCAATACTGAATGCTATAAAAAGCAAAATGAAATTTGTGCTGAAAGACCAAAAATATGATTTGATTACAAAAAAAATTCTCACATATCATGACCTATGTTCAAAGGACCATGAAAAAAACCCTATGATTTTAATAATGGAAGTGAACAAAAAGAATGAGGAAAGCTATAACAAAAGTTCACATATTTACAGAATCTCAGAGTTGAAAGGGTATCCAGAGGTCATCTTATCTAAACCCTCCCTACCTGAACAAGAATTCCTCCAAAAGTGGTCATCCATTCTATGCTTTAACGTTTCTCAAGAGTACAACCTCCCCAAATAAACTGGTTCCACTTTTGGATATCTATAATTATATCTAGAAAATCTATAGATTCTCCTTATATCCAACCAGTATTTTCCCTTAGATCTGCAATGCAGTGATCAACAGAATCAATATGACAAGAGGAGATCAACAGAATCAATCCGATAACTGAATTCTCTCAAAACTTAAAGATCCTATAATTGCCTCCCCAAATTTTCCTTCTCTGGACTATTCATACCCCATACCTCCAGCCAATTATCATGTAGCATAAACTCATGGTCTTTTCGTAACGTGATTTTTTTTTAAAAGGTGCAGTTTTTTTTTCCTATTTTTTATTCTTAGCTTTTTGGTGAGGCAATCAGGGTTAAGTGACTTGCCCGGGGTCACACAGCTAGTAAGTGTCAAGTGTCTGAGACCGGATTTGAACTCAGGTCCTCGTGACTCCAAGGCCAGAGCTCTATCCACTGCACCACCTACCTGCTCCATACTCAAGGTCTTTTACCATCCTAGTTACCTTCCTCTGGATGCTCTCAAGTTGATCAACGTCATTTCTATCATGTGGTACACAGAACTGAACACAAAACTACAGATGTAGTGTGATCAGGTCAAAGTATAATGTTACTGCATTATTAATCTCATGTAGTCCTGAACATTATGCCTCTTTTAATACAAACTAAAATACACTAGCTTTATCTGAATAACTTATAAATGTGTTCAACATCAAAAGCCACGCCCAGATCCCTAAGATATCTGTCTGAGACCTCCTTCCAAGATGACCATTTTCTGAGCCAGGCTATTCACCTACCCTTAAATGCACAAATCTCCTCACGTCTTCTACAAGAATAAAATGAGATTTATTAATTTCTTCAATTAGATCTAGATAAAACTATATCTAAAGCATTTTCCTGATTAACCAGCTTAATAATCCTATCAAAAAAGGACATCAGGATATTGCTATGACTTGTTCTTGGTGAAGCTGTGCTAACCTTTTATAAGCACTAGTTCTTTTTTCTAAATGTTCATTAACCATCCTTTTATTATGTTCTAGAATTTTTCCAGGCATCAAAAACAAGCTTACTGCTATACAAATTGGTCCTCAAAGTATATCTCTCTTCCTTTCACAGTAAAATTTTCTAGAGAAAACAACATAACAGCTCTATGATTTTCTTTTACTCAATTCACTTTCCCAAAGAGAAACGAAATCTTTACTAGACAAAGGAAGGACTCAGAGAGACATGGCAGGATGAAGAATATTTCTAATACATCCTTACTATGAGAGACAGGCAGCTAGGTGGCACAGCAGATATAGCGGTAGGACTGAGATCAGGAAGACTACATCTTTCTGAGTTCAAATACGGCCTTAAACACTTACTAGCTGTATGACCATGGGCAAGTCACTTAACTCTGTTTGCCTAAGTTTCTCATCTGTAAAATGAGCTGGAGAAGTACTTTTACCAAGAAAACCCCAAATGAGGTCATGAAGAGTCAAACAGAAATGAAAAACAACTGACTGAACAACATGACAGATTGGAGGAAAGTTACCATTAACATCTATATATTTTATAGATTATTAAAAATACATAAAACTTAAAAGGACATGAAAGGGACAATGTGGTTCTTTCTAGGAGTTCATTCAATCTATGGGGGGGGGGGGTTAGGGAGGGGGGAGGTAACATAGATAATAATGACCCAGCAAAAGCAACTAAAAAGGAACAGACAAAGAGAACCAGAAGAGAACAATGTCACAAAAACCTAGAGGAAAGAGAATGTCCAAGAGGAGAGAGGAGTCAACTGTGTCAAATGTTGCAAATTGAGGCCCAGATCCAAGAATGCTGAGAATTCCGGAAGAGTACTAAGAAAAGAACAAATTTGGAGAGAATGGTTGCAGGTGAGTGATAAGACAGGAAGTCAGACTGTAAGGGGATGAAGAGTGAGAGGAGAGGAAGTAAAGGTAAGGAGCACAGACAGCTTTTTCTAGTTGTTTGGCTGACAAGGGGAAGAGATGCACACAAAGACTCACACAGAGCAATGAATGGGGAAAAAAAGCAAGCTCTCCATGCAAAGTAGCTATCACATTAAGCTAATTCTCATTTTAACAAAATAAGCAATAATACCTATCGTGGTGTTAAATTTCCCCAAAATCATTATTATAGAATTTAATTATGTATTTTTAATTTTTTAATTATGTATTTTTAATGAATTTACATTGCTATTCTCAAAGAAAGATCTGTGAGAAAGATTGAGTACCAAAATTAGATGAACCTAACTTTATAAGACTGTTGGGAACATGTATAAAAGATAGTACATGTCCATGGAAGAAAACTGAATAACAGCATGATGCTTTGGCACAAATACTGCCCTCAGAATCTCATTTATTACATATATAACCACAAAACAACAGGAGAAAGGGAGGATACTCTATGCTGGAGGTCTGATCACTTCTTCAAAAAACGAAAAGGAAGCTTTTCTAAAATTTTTGTTGGAAAGTTGAGAAATTAAACTTAACAATGACTTATCTTTACATTTCTTTTATAACAAAATGTTATTATTGCCAACCAGCTGACCATTTCAGTATTTCTCTTCCCTATTCCCTCTATGGGCTGAAGGACAGGCAACTAACTGGCCAGCTGATCCTTTTTCACTAACAAAGCTACAGTAATGATAATGAAGAAAAATAAATACCTTATGACCCTGGTGTTTTCCATATTCCTTGCAGACACAGCACATAAGAGGGCTGGCCTGACAAGCTTCTTCTAAGCAAACAAACTCTATGGCATGCACTTGGTGCTGGGAGCACATGGTCTTCTCATGAGGCTTATCCGCCAGAGGTACACGCCTATGCTTTGCAAGGGTCTTTGTAGAATGGGTAAGCTGGGAACACTCCGAACACAAGTGAGTAGCACAAACAGTGCAATACACTGATGCAACATGGGCTTCATCTTCATCACAGCGTACGATGCTCTGAAAACAAAATTATGGCATTAATACATTAACAGTGGATTCTAGTCACTAAAACTGTATAAAATAGAACAAAATACAAGGTGGCTTTTTTGGTGTAGTTTATATTGGTTTGGCTCATTCTGTAAGCTAAATAACATTCTTTTTTTCTCTGACTGACATTAAAAAATAGCTGCACTTATATAGTGCTTTAAAGTTTCGAAAACTCTTTGCATACATTATCTGATTTGATTCTTATAACAAATCTATGAGGTAGGGGTTGTTATAATCCCCGTTTTCAGAGACAAGAAATCTGAGGACGAGAGAGCTGAAGCATCTTGTCCAAGGTTACACAACTAGAAAGTGTCTGAAACCAGGTCTTCCTGTCTCCTAGTCCAACATTCTATCCACTATACCACCTACCTGCTCTAAAGTTTCCTGACACAAAATTTCCATGAATATATTGTTGATTATTTTTTTCCAAGATAGAATTTAAAAGTACCATAAGTGAGGTGAAAAATTATAACCTTTTAAGAATTTATTTAATTGATGTAACAGACTCACAATGCACTTCAAACATCATTTTGTCATGGCGATAGGCAGATAAGGTAGAAAAAAACTGAAAGCAATAATGAACTTAAAACAATCTGGAATTATGCAAAATAAGTCACCAAATTACTCATACGCTTTGATCCTGGGGTCCCACAACTAGGCATATACATCCTAAAATTCAAAAACAGAAAGCCTCCCTATATATACCAAAATATTTGCTGTGATGCTTTTTATGTTAGGAAAAAACTGAAAGAAAATAAAGGCTGCCCATAGATTGACCAAAAGCTGTACAAAATATGATATATGCAACATTATTATGATATAAGAAACTATGACTATGAGAAATTTGAATTAATGCAAAGTGAAGAAAGCTTAGAGAATATATGTAATGATTATAGTAAGGTAAACTAAAACTTAATTTACATAAAATGCAATGGCTAATCTTGACTATGAAGAAAATGAAATACTTTATTCTCTGAAGAATAGATGGAAAGGAAAGGAAAGATGCAGAGTAAAAAAAGAAAAAACCAACCAAACAGTTTGTGTCCAATCGGTCTATTTTTCTTTATTATCTGGGCTAATTCTATGGGCAGGAGGTAGGGGACTACAGGGGAGCCGGGGGGGGGCATAACAGGAAATGACTAATGTGAAAAACATAAGACATCAAAAAAACTTATGCCTCCTGCTTCCTTCAAGCCCAGATAAAATCCTATCTTCTACAGGAAGCCTTTGCCTTCCCAAATCCCTCTCAATTCCAATGCCTTTCCGCTGATGATTATTTCCTATATATCTTGTCTAGAGCTTATTTGTACATAGTTGTTTGCATGCTGTGTCTCCAATTGCAGGGTGTTCCTTTCTTTGTATCCCCAGTATTTACGAAGTGCCTGGCACACAGTAGGAACTACATTCTACGATCACACATTTAGAGCTGGAAGAGGCCTAAGAAGTCACTGATTTCAACCCTCTCATTTTATCAATGAGGATCTGAGGCCCAAATAGGTTAAGTGAACTGCCCAAGGCCACAGACGTCACAAATGGCAGTGCCAGGATGTGAAACTGTCCTCTGACTCGAGATCCAGGAGCTTCTGAGGCTGAATTCTACGAAAAGGCTGGCCTAGGCTTTCATTGCCCTCTCTGGCACTAAAGTGCCCTCAATGGCCACACTAGATCCTCATTTGAGTCCCTTCTCTCTTGTGGCAACTTCCTCAAGTCAGCTCCTGGGCCACTCACCCACCCTAACTCTTTCTGTACACTGTGCCAACCAAAATCCTGCTCTTTCCCACTGCAACTTAGAACAGAAAGTTGCCCCCAAAATTAAGTAATTGTGATATTATTATGGGACATTATGGGGAATATACAGTCATCCTTTCCACATCACAAATTTCCCCAACAAAGTTTCAATATATTGTGGATTGGCATAAGAAATTAAATGGGAATTTTGGGGAAATTTTGTGGAAGTCGCAGATGACACATAAAGGCCAGCAGACAACAAGAAAAAGTTTAGAAACTCAGAAATGCATAAAATATATGTATAATATTGCATAATATCAACACATTTTATCTTTTAATACCACAATAATTCAGAATTCTTCTCTGATATGATGGGAAGGCCAAAAAATTTAACACAGATTTTCCAGATCACCAGGGTGTTGCAACCCTAACCCCAGTGATATGAAAGGGATAACTGTACTGTCTGAGAAAGGTACTCAAATGAAAGTGAAATGTGAAACAAGCAGGTTCTTCCAATCTAGCATGAGCTGAGGCAACATAGAGGCAAGGAGGAGTTCTGGACTTAGATTCAAGGAAACCAATCAGAATGCTGTCCCAGACACTTATTAAATGTGTCACCTAAGGCAAGTCACTAAACTTCTATCACCATGAGTTTCCTCATCTGTAAAATGAACTTAACAAAGGAACCTATCTGACAAAGGTAGTGTGAAAATCAAGAGATGATAGGTGTAAGCATCTGCAAACCTTAATGTACTACATGTTACCTATTATCATTTTTATAATCACAGCATCTCCTATCTAACAGTCAGCAAAGCTGAGTACAGAAAGGCTTACTATGAGTAAGCAGACCATTAAAACACTGGCTGATTATTTGGCTATGGCACTCCATTAAGTAGACAAATACAAAATTGAGCCCTGTTTTGTGTGGCCCCTTCCTGCTTGCCCAGTGATGACAGGGAGGAGGCAATGAGTTCCAAGGATTATTATGCAGGGTTTCTTTCTAAAAACATTCATTTTAACTGGTAGTATACAAAAAGTAAGACCACTGTCCAATAGCAATTAGGTTAATATACTACTGGGGTACTGAATCATGGCAATATTTGCATTCTTGCTATAAATAAAGCCAGTAAACATATATAAAATAATAGTTAAATTAAAGGGCAGCACACAGACTCACCTTGAAGGAGTATATAAAGTAGCAATGGTTTCACTGTAAGTCAAAAGGCAATTAATATGTCAAGGAACATAAAAGCCATTTGCCTTTTTTACAAATGAATTTTAAAAATCAAATTGACAAGATTGGAGAGGCATGCTTAGAAGTTAAGTTTGTTTGAAAAAAGATCTAGGGTTTTGGTAACTGGAAGTTCAATATGAATCAAAATTATGATATGGCAACCAAAATAGCTGCAGTGCATTGAGAGACAGAATGTTCTGGAAAAAGGAAGTGATTGCTCTGCTGCATTTATAAGACCACAATTAGAGTTTTATATTCAGCTCTGATACCCTATTTTAAAAAGAAAACTAATAAAATGGAAGACCTCCAGAATAGGCCAAACAGTATGGTATACAGAGCCTAGAGTTCATGCAATATGAAGATCTGTTGAAGAAATGCGGGATGGTTAGCCTGAAGAAGATGACCCAACATAATTTAGATAAAAAGACTGACACCATAAGCAAACTAGGAGAGCAAGGAATAGTTTACCTGTCAAATCTATGGAGAAGGGAAAAATTTATGACCAAACAAGAGATAGAGAACATTATGCAATGCAAAATGGATGACTGATTACATTAAATTGAAAAGTTTTTGCACAAACAAAGCCAATGCAACCAAGATTAGAAGGGAAGAAGAAAGCTGGGAAACAATTTTTATAGCCAGTATCTCTGAGAAAGGCCTCCTTTCTAAAATACATAGAGAACTTTGTCAAATTTTTAAGGATGTAAGTCATTTTCCAATTGATAAATGGTCAAAGAATATGAACAGGCAGTTTTCAGATGAAGAAATTAAAGCTATCTATAATCATATGAAAAAAATGCTCTAAATCACTATTGATTAGAGAAATACAGATCAAAACAATTCTGAGGTACCACATCACACCTATCAGATTGGCTAACATGACAAAACAGGAAAATGATAAATGTTGGAGATGTGGGAAAACCGGAACACTAATGCATTGTTGGTGGAGTTGTGAACTGATCTAGCCATTCTGGAGAGCAATTTGGAACTATGCCCAAAGAGCTATAAAAATGTGCATACCCTCTGACCCAGCAATACCACTTCTAGGTCTGTATCCCAAAGGGAAAAGGACCCACATGTAGCACCTATTTGTGCGGTGACAAGGAATTGAAAATTCAGGGGATGACCATCAACTGGGGAATGGCTGAACAAGTTGTGGTATACGAATATAATGGAATACTACTGTGCTATAAGAAATGATGAGCAGGCAGATTTCAGAAAAACCTGGAAAGACACACATGAACTGATGTTGAATGAAATGAGCAGAACCAGGAGAAGATTGTACACGGTAACAGCCACATTGAGGATGCTGACTCTGCTAGACTTAGCACTTCTGAGCAACGCAAGGATCTAAGACAACTCCAAAAGACTCAAGATGGAAAATGCTATCCACATGCAGAAAAAGAACCATGGAGTCTGAAGGCAGAAAGAAGCATATTATTTGCTCTCCTTTTCTTCTGTTGTTTTATTTCTTCTTTCTCGTGGGTCCTCCCATTAGCTCTAATTCTTCTAATACATCATGACTAATGTGAAAATATGCTTAATATGAATGTATAAGTAGAGCCTATATAAGATTACACACCATCTTGGGAAGGGGGGAGGAGAGTGAGGGAGACAAAATTTTAAACTTAAAATTTTATGGAAGTGAATGGTGAAAACTAAAAATAAATAATTAACAAAAAAAGAAGACAACCCAACCAGAGACACAATTGCCGTCTTTAAGCATCTGAAGGACTGTCATATGGATGATTCGTTCTTTGTCATCTCAGAAGGCAGAAAGAAGAATAAAAGGTATAATGTGCAGAGGTAAATTTAAGATTGATATAAAGAAAAGCTGTTAAAAGATTATAGCTATGTTAAAGTAGAACAGGCCTGTAGAAGTAGAACAGGATTCTTTTTTTTAAATTTTGAGGAATACTTAACAGTATCTTTTTTTTCCAACTACATGTAAAGATAGTTTTCTACATTCATTTTTTATACAAGATTTTGAGTTCCAAATTTTTCTCCT